AAGGAACTTCTAAAACATGGCCACATTTGAACACGACCAAACTTCTAAAACATTACCAAATTTGAAATGCGGTAATAAGTAGGTCGGCAATTTGTTTGGCTCCATAGAACATTACCACATTTGAAATGCGGTAATCAGTAGGTCGGCAATTTGTTTGGCTCCATAGAACATTGCCACATTTGAAATGCGGTAATAAGTAGGTCGGCAATTTGTTTGGCTCCTTAGTAATTATATGGGAAAATTACAAAAAAAAAAAAAACTTAAAGACTACACTTTTTATGCAACTTACCCCAACCGAACTTTTTTTTCTCACTTTCTTCTCTAAAACAAACTTTCTATGAAAATACCCCCAATGAGAAAAAGTTTGTTTTTAGATGGAAATGCCATTGCACAAAAATCATTTTGGTTAGATTTGACGGAGCGCATCATCACATTGTCGGAGCATCATCACATTGTTGGAGCGCATAAGTGTCGGACCGCCCTAAGATAACTACCGGACCGAAACTGAGTACTGTCATACTGCCCTTTACATAGTACCGGAGTCCTAGAATCCAGTAGCATTTACTGCCGGACTGCACTTTACACAATACCAGAGCCCTACTGCCGAACAATATTTTACACATTATCGGAGCCTTCCTGCCGAATTACATAGTGCCAGAGCTCTACTGTCAAATCGCATTTACACAGTGCCGGAGCTGTTATTTTGGTAGGATAGAGGAAAGCGAGGCATGAGTAAGGTAAAAGTAAGGGAGGGTAGTTTAGGTTTTTTTTATTTTATTTTTGATTGGTGGGTATTTGCATAGAAAATGCATTATGAAGAAAAAGTGAAAAAAAAAGTTAGGTCGGAGTAAGTTGCACAGAAAATATAGTCTTAGGTTTTTTTATAATTTTCCCTAGTTACATTTAGTGGATACAAAACTTACTTTTTGTGTGTGTGGGATGGATCATCGTAGCGTCCTTTACTTTCCTACCATCTAATAATAATACCTCAGACTTGGCAGGAAAGAGGTCAAGGGTGTTTAAAATTTCTTGTACCCAAAAACCACCGAAATTTGCCATAGATCACATGAGCCAGGCTCATTAGGATTTAGATGGACCTGGCTTATTAGGGCAGTCGTTTTACGTGCGGAAGCGATCTAATGTTCACTATAGAAAGTGTAGGTTCCAATGGCAAAAGCAACGTTTTGATCCCCAGATTTGTAGGGGTGGACCGTTAACCCAGAGATCCATGTTGGATCAGTGTAGAAAAAATCAAACCAAAATGGTTAATTGGATGCTGGATGCTGGACGCTGTTCAACCGGCCTAACTAGGCAAGTCTCGGGTGGTTAAAAAAATGTTAAAAACAAGGCACATTCAAATGAAGTTGAAAATTAATGAAAAAATAGATTTTAAATAATCGATTTGTGTCCAAAAGTTTTTTTTGAAATTTTCTAAAAAAGATGGGAAACTGTAAAAAGAAGTACCAATGGCCAAAAACGATTTCCAATACTTGCCAAAATGAATAAAAATATTTTTAAAAATATATTACAAACAAAATCCCTTATTGTTTTAGATTTTTATTTTTTTTTAAATACCAAGCCAGTTTGCCAAAACCAGCCCAAACCAGAGCCGACCAGCCGGCCCTGATCTAACCAGGTTTAAGTGGGCGGTTAGACCCGGACTTGGACCCAAACCCGAAAGTATTCGGGTCCAAAATTTGGACCCATAGTCCCGTCAGGTCTCGAGTCTACCCGTCAGGTTCCAAGTCTAGTCGGGTCCATGGCCGCCCTATGACTACAGACTTCCTTTTTTTCTTTACCCTTTGTTTTAACATCATACACTCTATGACTATGAGCTTCTATTTATTTGCCAATAATACTGTAAATGTTGTTAATATTGTGACAATATGAACACCTAGGACACGCCTAAATGATTGCCATCATATACCCTATGACTATAGCTTCAGGTTGGGTACGGGTTGGGTCCAGCTGGACCCAAACCCAAATAATATTCGGGTCCAAAATTTGGACCTATACCCGGACTTGAGGTTGGATCTACCCATCGGGTCCCAAGTCTAGTCAAATCCATTGCCACCCGTACAAACCAAGACCCACACCATCCGAAAGCTCGTTTGGTCCCAACCGACTTCCATCCAAATCGGTGATCCGATCATAAACCACCGCATTTTAAAACACTGGGACAAAGTACTGGTTCTACCTATTTCATGGTGTAGATCATTCAAAGACATGAAAAAGAGGATCATTTAAACTCCACGAGCCAGGATCATTAGGTCAATCACCATTAATAACTAGGGACCATTGTAGAGTGCTATAGTCATAATCGTGGCCCTCATTTTCAAGAGTGGCTGTCTCCAAGCTATGGTAGCTCATTATGGTATTTTCACTTTTGGCGAAAGTTTTCCTCAAAAGATTGTTGAGGAATGCCAAGAATATGTAAATTCTATGTGTGGTGGCTATTGGATGTCTGCATTGCCATAGGGATATCAGACAGAATTATTTCTTAGGGAGATTTTCATAACAATTATATATTACTTATTTATTATATTTTAAAATAGTCTCATGTATTTTATACTTTGCAATGTAGTTCAAATTTTTTATAACATAAAGTGTCTTTTAATTTTAATTTTTTCATTTATATTGTATTAGCCTTGATTTTAGTATATTCATACTTATCACCATCACACACGTATAAAAATAAATAAATAAATAAATAAAATTCTCAAACTACCTTTATAGTATTTAGGGGTTGTTTGGTAATTTTATTTTTTAAAATTTTTTCCATATATTTAATAGGTGTATGATAGTGAGAAACATGGGTATATACCAAATTTAAGCTTCATACAATGTATATAAAAAGAGATAAAACGAAAATACACTTTATGTTCTCAAAAATAGAATTTGATTGTAAAATATAAAATATATGGAACTATTTTGAAATATCAAAATAAAATAGAATTTACGTGTAAATTTCCCTTTGAGATGAATCAAGCGTTTAGTTATGAAAATAATTTTATGAAAAAATTCCATCTATAGTAAAAGTAGAAAAAAGTTTATATAAGTCGTCAGCCTTATATTATAGGCGTAAGATACACCTCAAAAATCCATTAAAAAAGACTGTTACGAATTTGGAAAACCCTCTGATTGTCGATCTTGACTTTGAGATGTACGGATATGAAGAAAAAAAAAAAGAAATTTCAAGTCCTAAAAATACTGTATCTTGTAGCAAGTTATTCGAAGAGTCTATTGTCAAGATTTCAAGTGTTTATATATCTACTAGATCTGGACGGTCTTTGAAATTTTTGTTTTCATAATCATGGATGAAAATAGATTTTTAAGTATCAAAAGGTTTTCAATTCCAAAACTAAATCTTCATGCAAACTTTAGAGAAATGACTTACTTTATGTGTTGGTCGCCTAATATTGACGTCACCCATAAAATAAGTTTAAGAACACATTGGAAAATATTGTTTTGACACTCGAAAGCCATCGAATTGATTACCTTGACCTCAATATGTATGGATATGAAATTAACTTTAAAAATACATTGGAAAATATTATTCCGAAACTAAAAAGTTTTATCTCGACTTTGAGATGTATGGATATAGAAAAAAAAGATTTCAATTCCTAAAACAATGTACTTTGTAATGCATTAGCCCCACCATCTATTTTCACAATTTTCAAGTATTTATGGACCTGCTTATTCTACACTATTTTTGGATTTTTTGGAGCTTTGAATTTCATAATTATAGGTAGAAATAGACTTCTAGGCCATATTAGGGATTTTCATCAACTTATTTGCATTTTCTCGCAAAGTTTGAAGGCAAGTCTTATTTTGATTGCTTAAGGTTGACGCCTTACAACTATCTGAATTAAAATCTGAGAGACGAAAGTGATTATGACTTCTTTTTATAAAAAGTAAATAGTCTATTTGTATATTTTTTTAATAATGTGTGTAGGACCCCAAAGAATCATTATTCTATGAGATCCTCCCACACCAACGTATGTAGAACCCCAAAGGATCACTATTAAATTTGACACAGATCTCTAGAAAAATCAAGTTCCACACCCATGTGATAACTTTTCTAGAGATCTATGCCAAATTTAATGGATCCTTTGAAGTCCTTTACACATGGGTATGAAAGGGTCTCCTAGGATCATTACTCAAATAAATTTGTTCCTATATCGCAAGGTCAATCACTTGCCCCTGTTTGCACATTACAATATCGGTGATATAATTCCATGGATATACTGATTCTAATCTCTTTTGCTGCCGGAAATAGAATTAACTAGAAGCACAAGCCAATGACAAACTACCAATGGAGTACCTCATCACATAAAAGAAACAAAAGCCAGTTGCAGTTATACCAAGTATGCAAAAGAAATATATAATCATCATACAAAGTAAAGCATTACAACAGGAATAAATTCATTGAGCACTATATCCCAGAGAAGTTCTCAATTTCAAACACTGTAATGCTACAAAATCACAGAAAAAACTGGAGTTTATATGGTTTTTAAGCACACAAGTCAATTGGAAGGCATTCAATGTGGGCTCAGACCTTGAACCCAGCTAGCTATCAATGAAAAAGAAAAAGGAAAGAAGGGCATTCACATTTGGAATAAGTTACATGGAGAGCCACTTCTTTGTGTCTCTGAGATTTCCTGTTCACAAGGTTAGAATCAAATCAAATATATGGACACAGTTTAGGTAGTTCCAAGAACAACTTAGACATGGATCAAAATTCTCAATAAGTGCTTTTATAGCCATAATCATATTTTTTGAAAGGATTGTCTACAAAGAGACCATTTCTCTTTTGTACATGGAGATTACAATCATTTTTGCCCCTTAAATTTCAAAATGAGTAGTTGAAAGAGTGTCATCGAATAGACACAAAGTTCCAAAAAAAAAATTTTCATTGTGACTCTCTCCAAGCCATCCAATTTGACATCTAATAAGTAAAAATGATTGTGACATCCATGTACAAAAGTTAAGTGGTCTCTTTATAAAATGAGTGAGAATGATTGTGAACTCCATGTGCAAAAGATAAATACTCTCTTTGTAGACAATCCCATTAAAACCTAAATACCCCCTCTTTCATTTCGAACCAATCTCCTCTTTAAGGATGGATCCAGAGCTTTAGCTTCCCATATTTTTAAAGCTTTTTAGCTTGCATAGGCCGTGAATCAGAGTCGCATGGGTGCCAATATTCGGTAACATACCCCTACTTATCATATCATCACGAAGATCAAAAGCTTCTGTTATTCTTCCTCTGGCACAGAACCCAAAAATAAGAATATTATACACCACCTTGTCTGGCTTTACACCTTTACTCAGCATCTCATACCATAGACTCAAAGCTTCCTCCAAATCACCCATTTTACAGTACTGAAATAGAAGGGTTGAATAACTAACACAGTCAGGCTTCACTCCATAAGATACCATCTCAGTTAGAAGTTGGGTTGCCCCCCGAATGCTACCCAATTTACAGAAACCCTTCATCAAAATATTGTAAGTGACACTGTTTGATAATAGCCTTGAAAGTATTTCTTTATGCAACTCCAAAGCATCCTTCATACTTCCTTCTCTTACATGGTAGTCAAGAAAACAACCAAAAGTTCTCTCATTAGGAAAGACATTCTTTTCCACCATTTCTTTACAAAGCAATTCGGCTTTATCCAAATCACCTGCCTTGCAAAAACCATTTATCATCACAGTGTATGTTACAGTATTTCTGATAGATCCATGTATGGCCATCTCATCCCATAGTCTACAAGCCTCTAAAATGTTTCCTCCAAGGCAATACATGTCTATTATCATTGTGTATATATATCCATCTGGATTCAATCCTTTAGATTCCATCTCCTTCAAAATGTGCAACAATGAAACCATGTCTTGTTTCTTACAGATACCATAAATAAGCACCCCATAACAAACAATGTCCATTTCTACTCCCTTAGATACCATCTCTTCACAAACCTTAAAGGCATCCCTAACCATTCCTTCTCTACAAAACCCATAAAGAAGAGAGCTATAACACATCTCATTAAGCCCAAAACCTTCCCTGTTAATGTCATCAACAAATTCTTTGGCTTCTTGAACTCTGCCTTCTATACAAAGCGAGCTTATCAAAGGCCTATAGGTATATGTATCGGGTACCAATTCTCGGGAAACCATTTCATCAAAGAGCTCAAATGCTCTCACCGTGTTTCCTTCCCTGCAAAACCCATCAATTATAACATTATAAGTAACCTCATTTGGTTTCACGTCTAGCTCTATCATCTCCTTCAGGAGCTTAACTGCCTTAGGCATCTGTTTAGTCCTGCAAAGACCATTGATTAGTGTAGTGAAAGTATACACATTCGGCAAAACTCCTCTCTCAGACATCTCACAACGAAACTTATACGCTTTATCGAAATCCCCATTCACACAGTGCCCACTAATCAATGAAGTATAAGTAACAACATTAGGGACCAATCCCTTGTTCATCATCTCCCTATAAAAAGATTCTGCCTTCTCAAGTTTTCCGACCTTACAATGCCCAGCGATTAGAGAATTATAGGGATAAACTGTGGCTTTAATCCCTCTCTTGTGCATTTCATCCAGCAAAATAAGTGCACCATCCAATCTCCTATTCTTACAGTAAGAATCAATCACTATCGAGTAAGTAATCTCATTAGGAACCAGGCCCCTATTCTCCATTTGTGAGAAAAGGCCAAGGGCCTCATCTAATTTACCATTTTTACAGAGAGAATTCATAAGTGCATTATAGGCAAACAAGTTGGGTATAATTCCATGTTTTCCAAGATAACCTACCATCTCAAAAGCCATTGAAATCTTCCCCTTTCTTCGCAACGCATCCACTAAGCAAGAGCAAGTAGATTCATTGGGAAGAAACCCTAATTCTACCATTTCATACACCAGTTGAACCCCCAACTCTAAGTCCTCGCTCCTACAAAGGCCATGAATAAGAGTACAATATGTAACAACATCGGGAAATAAGCCATTTTCGAATAATTTGTTCTTGATTTCATTGGCTTCTGCAACTCTACCATTTCTGCATAACCCATTTATCCAGATATTATAAGCTACAATGTTGGTGCATTTCTTCTCCTCCATCTCATTAACCAATTCTCTAACCGCAGAAAAATCTTTTCTTTCGCAAAAGCTCCGAATAACAGCTGTATAAATATAAACACAAGGCTGAACCCCCGCTACTATAATCTCGGAATAAAGCTCCAAAACCATATCAAAAAGCCTAAGTCTCACTAGGCCATGCAAGAGTTCACTGCAAGTCCTCAAATCAGGTAAGATTCTGTGGTTCAAAATCAATTTCAAAACCCTAGAAGCATCAAAAACCCTAGAATTATAAATGTATGCCTGAACCAGTATATCAAACCCTAATGTCGACGAAAAGTGGCACCTTTCATAAGCTATTAACAAAGATTCAAAGACTTCATTTGGGTTTAGGGCTCGGAAAATCAGAGTTTGTAGGAGTGAAGACGCAGGCCATGCTAGATTAGACGCTACCAAAGAATGCACAAGAATACAATAAGAGAGAGTAGAGTGATCGAATCCATTGTGTAAACCTAAGTAATTGAAGAACCTTAGAGACGAAGCGGCATCATCTGCGTTCTCCATAAGGAGCTTCTCCACATGGCGAGGCTTCAAGAGTTGCAGAAGAGAGGAAGGCAATGTCCATCGCTTCTTCTTTTCTTTCTTGCATTGGATGAAATCATGGAGGATTCTGATGAGTCCCCTTTCTCTCTCTTCTTCTTCTCCCAGGAAATGACGAGGAGAGTTGCAGAGGCCTCTAAGTTTTGTTTTTGTGAGGAGATGGGGGTTTATGGACCGATGGGGTTTCATTGGTTTGCTCAATTAGTGTTTGGACGAGAATTTCCACGGATTTTGCAGAAGTTTGGTGTTTCAATTAGTGTTTGAACGAGAATTTCCATGGATTTTGCAGAAGTTTTGTGTTAGAGCTTTGATGGCGGATTCTTGACAGTTGAGAGAAAGGCGCATCGATTATTCGAAGAGTTTTGGTGGTGGCGTGGAGAGAGAGAGAGAGAGAGAGAGAGAGAGAGAGAATAAGTATTTTCGATTCTGTGAAGTTTGGAGTTTGAATTGTTTTTGGTTTTGGAGGATTTCAGAGAAAATATATAAGGAAAAAATAATGGAAAATCATAACAAAACCAGAAAATGCAAATAAAAAGTCTAAAAAGGAAATATTCTAATTTAAAATTTTCTCCCCCCAAACACTCAAAGGGAGATTAGGAATGTGTACTCATAGGGAGATTAAGAATGAGTTTAGGCTAGACGACGAAGGTGGTGGATCACCACAATATGACGTCTTGAGTTCTATTTTTACAAATCACATACCAATCAACTGAAGTAATTAAACTCAAGTTTCGAGTCGAATGGCCCAAATCCCCAAATGATTTTAGCCAACTTAGTCAATCCCTTTTTCCCAAAATGGAAAAACAAATAAAATAGAGAAAAAAATAAATATATAATTAAATATTTAAAAATTCTTGGGGTATAAATCAAATTTAAAATAAAAAACCCTATTTGGGAAGAAAATAGTAGAAAAAAAGACAAACAAAACAAAATCTATCTTGGAGACTTTTGGTTTTAATACAAAACTTTGTCGAAGTCTTTTATAGATCAATGTAAATGAATGTTTTACATAAAATTAAATGAATTTGGTACAATAGTGAGAGAGAATGAAAATTTTTTATTTTGGATTAAAAATATCAAAATTTAGACTAATTTGATTTTTTTTGCTTTCCAATCCAACAAATTGACAACGGGCTCCAATACTAACATTTTGTATCCATAATTTAAATCACATTATAGATGATTTGGTTGACAAATGACAGAGATTGCATGAAATATATATTGGGTTTTGAGGCTCAAAAAATGGTCAGATTTTGATATATATATATATATATATATATATATATACTTAGTATAGAAAGTAAGTTTAGTAGAGTAGAGACACTAGTAGTTGGTCGAGAGTGTATACGAAACGGTCGGTACTAATTAGTAGGAGTAGTAGGTATTAGT